TCTCTCCCTCTCCCTTGCACATGCTAAGCAAGTGCTGTACTACTGAGCTACATCCTCCTTTTAAATGAATTATTACTACACCGAAATGAGGTTTACCTTTTCTAGATCTGCTTTTTCTTGCTGCTTCTGTTATTATACATTTACCCTCGGTTTATTCAGCTATCCCCCCTTGGCAGAAAAGGTTCAAAGTCCCAAATTAAAGGCTATGATGTTTTTTATTCCTAAAATCAAACAATGATTAACCTTCCATTTATCATGTCTTCTTTTCCCAAGATTATGGCAATCAGTAGGCTTAGGATTTGGTACGACTCAGCCATAAAGAATGAGAAGTTAGAGTCATTTATAGTTAAATGAATACATATTGAGGCCATACTCTGAAGTGAAATAAATAGGACACACGTGTATAAATACTGAATCATTTCTCTGGTGTGAAAATTTAAAAGAGTAAATAAAGTTCAAATTGTATAATTGATAATGTAAAATAGGAAGAAAGGGGCTGAAGAAGTAGAGGAAGTGGGAAGGGTGGAGAAAGGAAAGAAGGGAAAAGAAAGAATATGTGAAAAGGAAGAAAATGGAAACAAAGTCTTTGTAAATAGGGAAGGGTGGAGGAGGTGAAGGGAGGGTAGGGGAATGGGGGAAGAGTAAGAATCACGATACATCATGTGAAGGTATAAGATCCCAATGATGAATGTAACTGAATTGTATACCTAAAATGTACCAAGACTTAATAATAGTAATAATACAAAGAATATGCTCCTATAGCCACGTAACTGAGTCTCAGCCAATCATAGAAGCTGAACTCCTGTCAACAGAGGATGAAAGTTGCCAAAACATGAGCAGGCAACCCCACACTGCAGCCAATCAGGTTGTTTATAATGTTTTTTTTCATATGTGTCCTTTCTTTTTCTTTTGCTATAAATATAATCTGTATATGTAGTAGAGTGAAACCTTCTGAGCTATCTTTTGTCAGGACTATACATTTCTCCCATTTGTCTGTCTCTGAGGTATATCCTTATAATAACTTGGGAAACATCAGTAAAAGGTTTCTCTGATTTTTGTGAACAAGATCTGATTAATTATAACTATTGGTAACAACCTGGAACTTGTGAATGGTGCCTGGAGTGGAGGCAGTCTTGTGAGAGTGAGCCCATAAACTTTGCTTACCTGTACTTACTCTGGGTAGAAGGGGGATTGAATTGGATTATAGGACACCCAGTTGATATCTGGGGAAGTGGAGAAGTAATGGTTGTGCAGAAAGGCTCATGACAGAAGGATTGTGGGTAGAAGTAGTATCAGGCCACCCCTAGTAATTTTTCAGAATCAACTTTCCCAGAGTTTAAAAAATGCTTGTAAATGTTTTGCTTTGGGATAGATAGGGTGTGTACTAGCAGGCATTTTTCTTCTATTTGTTGTTTGTCCATGCAAGTACCTAATGTCTTTTTTACTTTAAAGCTTTTAGCACTTTTGAAACTTTCTGGGCATCTCCATCATTCTAAAGGACATTATAAATTGGATTCCTGAGACAGAACACCTTCCTATCACCTTATTTAACCCATCCCAGAATAGAGAAGTCTTTCTGGCACAGTCTTGGCTTATAATAATAGCTTGTTAGTATTATTTGGGAATTCTGAGTTAGAGTGAGTAACGTGCCCAGGCTCACACAACTGATTAACTTGAGCTGTTAACAAAAGTACTTCTCAAGTCACAACTACACTGCCTGTTTGTATGATAAGAGTTCAGACTCTTTAGGCAGAAAGACCTGAGTTTACACTGTACACATAAATGCATATAATTATTTTTCAATTTAAAAAGTACTTCAGTTTGAATTCAGTCTTTTTTCATTTTCTGATACTGGCAGTTGAAATCAGGTCCTAGCGCTTGCCAAGCAAGCATAGTGCCACTGAGCTACATCCCCAATCTCTTGAATTTCCATCTTCACTTACAAAAATAAAATTTGTGTAAACTACGTAGCACATCTTATAGTCAGTATTAGCTATATTCTAAAATACATATCAGATACATGTCTTAGTATACATTCTATCTTTTCTTTTTGATGGACATAAGAGTGTAGCTATAAAGTCTAGTTTATTTAACTAAGTACTGTACTGAGTTTGAATCAGCTGCCCTACATTTCACTTCTAGATTGAAATTGTTAAAGTTGTAGGGATAGGATGAAATAATATGTGTGAAATCACTTTCTAATATGTTTCATAATATAAAACCATAAAGTGTTAATTTATTTTAAGTGAAAAGCTATTTTTTTACTATAAAAGCTGTACAATCCATATAAAATTCATAATTGTACTTTTAAAGAATTAATAAATTAATTGCCCATTGTACTTCTTCTCGAGGTAACTTTCATTTCAGTTTTTTCTTAAAATATAAATTGATTATTTTGAAAAGTTCAGTGATCCCAGGCAGATATTACATAGATACAAGTTTAATTAAAGGGAACAATTTGTCACTTGATTTGTACAATCAAGGTACAAATCTTTTTCCCTCAATTATAAACACCCCAAGAATTCAGGCTCTTCATGAGTTTTAAAAATATAGAAGGCCATTTCTCATTATCTGAACAAAATAAATGACCATCTGATAGCTCTGTTCCGATTTGCTTTTGGGGACGGGTCAATACCCATACTCTTTAATCTTTTCCCAAAAGGCCCGTGTTAAAAGCAGGGAGTCCTGGTGTAGCAGACATTTGTGTGAAAAGTAACAGTTCATTTCAAGTGACTTTAATTTTCTGTGAACCAGCTATGTGTTGTGGTGGCCATAAGTGCTAATTTAGACTTAAGCTTTACCAATAAAAGATCTTAGGATATGATTTTCTTTCTATGTTTTGTGCATCTAGGGTATGTCCACTTTCTTTGTATTCAAAGTTTGTATTAAAATGTTTGGGGTCCAAGAATTAAGCAAGATATTGATAGTGTTGGAACCCGCAACTAGGAGAGCAGTAGGTCAGGAAGTACTGCCATTCTTGAACAGGTGAGAGAATTGAGGATAGTTTGTTTAGTAGGCATCCTCAAGTCAGCTGAAAGGAACCCACACATAAAAGTGGGAGTAGATTCATTATTGTTCTAAATGGTAACACCACAGACCTTGGAAAACAGTGAGATGGGCCTTCTCTTTGGCTTAAAATTATGTCTTTATACATATATATATATATAATTTATTTTTCTTTGGGTCTTTATTTTATATATGAATATATATCACACATAGTATGTGGACACAGACATATATCTATATATTTAAGATGAGGTTTTGAGTGGATACTACACTATAAATTATTAACTATAATATATATTATATTATAGTGTAGTATTAAATATAGTATAAAAGTATATAGTATAGTATTAAATATAGTATAAAATATACTATTATACTTTAACACTATGAAGGAAGATGGGGAAATAGATTGAGTAAAGATATGCTAGGTACAAGGTCCTAATAACATCAGTGAAGTGGACATTATATACCAGAAACATGAACTAAGATTAATAATATCAATAAGAATGAAAAGAGGGAAAGGAGAACTAGAGGGATGGCTAGGGAAAAGGAGGGAAAGTGATTAAGAAAAGAAGCTGTATTATGTACAGGTTCCAACTTCCCAAGATGATTGTAAAATGCAAGTACTGCAAACATATACTAATAAAATAAAAATTATACATAAAGATTAACATTAGACAAAATTAAAAAATACATTTCCCCTTCTCCTTTGAAGCTTTACTTCCTAAGGGGAAGTGGGAAGGGCAGGGGAAAAGAAAGAAGGGAATGGAATTAATACAAGAAAAAGAAAAAATGGAAACAAAGTCTTTGTAGATAGGGAGGGGTGGAGGGGTTGAAGGGAGGGCAGGGGTATGGGGAAAAAATAAGAACCAAGATGGATTATATAAAGGTGCAAATTTCCAATGATGAATGTCATTATATTGTATGACTTAAATGTACCAATAAAATTAATTTAAAATTTGAAAAATATAAACAAAAGAAATATATAAAATGCATTTCTTCATTGAATTTATTTACTCCTTCACTTTTATAGAACCTTTCTTATGTGCCAAGTGCAGAGAGATAAATAGTGGGCAAGAGGTTGGATTAAAAAGTTCAGCCAGGAGTGTGCTGTGTGCCTGTAATCCCAGCACTCTGGGAGGCAGTGACAGAAGGATCATGAGTTCAAGCCCACCCAGAGCAACTCAGTGACTTAGTAAGACCCTATCCCAAAATTAAAAATAAAATAGGCTGAGAATATAGCTGAGTACAAAAGCCTTTGGTTCATTCCCCGATACTGGTGAAACAAAACCAAACTTTAGAGATTCTCTTTTTGTATGTCTGAAAGAAATTGTTTGATGATTCAATTTCCTTTACCTTAAATGTGGAGCTCTTTTTGTGTATTACCCACTCAGTCTTTTTAATCTTCCCAGTGTGTTACTATCACATTTATTGTGTGATGTGGATTATGGTTTATATTATTCTCTGAAAGATTGTAGGTCTTTAACGTCATATATATGATAATACTTTATTTTCCTATCTTTGAATATAGAGGTTAAAGTTGAATGTGGAGACAGTTTTTGGTAGAATAAAGTTGATTTTTCATTGGAAATATTTAATTGCAGGTTCACTTAATACGTTTTTAAAGATTCAAGATTTATTAGACAATACCAGGAGAGAACATGATGCTTTTAAACATGAGGATGTTCATTTATTAATATTGTTGGATGTTCATTACACTTAAGACATATGGATAAGTCAGGTTTGAAAGTTACACTTTACTTTTATGAGGGAAGTTATAGTATGTGTTTACTAAGACATCAAACTTCCAAATTCAGTATTTGTAGATTGACTATATATCTGGACTTATTCTACTTCTGCTTGTAGAGATCAGATAGTACTAGGAGAAAGCAGAGGTGCCAAGAACAGAGTGTGCAGATTTGGAGGTGATACTGGAGTGCTTGTACATTTTGGCCCATCAAGTAAGGCCAGCTGTTCATGTGTTTCATGTCTAGGTTTGGAGTTCACCCAGTTGCAGGCCGAATGCCTGGTCAACTTAATGTGCTGCTGGCTGAGGCTGGGGTGCCATATGACATTGTGTTGGAAATGGATGAAATCAACCATGATTTTCCAGGTAGGTGATGGTGAAGTTTAAATATTTGTAGTGTGAATAAAGTGATGTTAGACTTAGAGCATAAATTGTACAATCAGTGATGACTTAGATGAAAAGCAGTTATCATTTAAAATTAAGTAAGTGAAAGACACTGCTGAATAAGGTGGAAAATATTTGTGAGTGGCATTGTTAAATTTCGTTCCTCTGTGAATAACTGAAGTATGGTGAAAATGTGGTACATAGGTGAATCTGAGATCTGGGAAGACTTTGCTTTTGACTCTGGGTTCTGATGCCCAGGAACTTGTACCTTGAACTAGGTACTTGACTTCAGGCTCTTCATTTACAGAAGTGCTTCTGTTGATTTTTGTTAATCTCAGGTTTTTATTGGTTTTCCATTGAACCAATTCATGACCAGTGAAGTAATATTCTTTTCTTTTTTAAAGTACTAAGACTTTCTGAGATAAGGTGCTGTACATTATAGCTACCATGGGTAGATGCTGAATAGAGATGACATTTGGCCCAAGATCATGTTTGTTAAAATTAGACCAATTCCCTTTGGCAAGTATCCACTGTAAACTTGAAAAACACTGTTTATTAGGAAAAAAATAATGAAATCGCTTGTATGTCTAGAAGCACATGGCACTTTTGGCAACATCCTAAGCTAGTTTAAATTATAGTTCTTAAAAAGAAAAAGTTTAGTTTATTTTAATTTTATATCCCCTTTTAAATTTCACTATTGCTAAATCATATGTAAAACCAGCCAGTTCCAGGAATTATGGACACATCTTTAATACAGTACAGATTTGTAGAGCATTGTTATTTAAACATTAGATCAAATATTAATTGGTCATTTAAAAAGTTAATAACAGACACAAACCTTTTAAAATAACATGGCTAGCAAGGTAATGTGGGGATAAAAAAGGAATTATAAAGTCAAATTAGGTAGATCCATTGGTGGGGGGGAAGACAAAATAATGCGTGTTCTAATCAGGATGGTCAGGTTCAATGAAGCACCTGCAGCTGCTTTTTAGTTATGGGACATTGTCTCAATTGGCCTAACCTCTCTGATAAGCCATTTCTACAGGGCCTGGCACAGGTGAGCTTTTGTTATTGTTATTATTCTAAAGGCAGATACTTATTTGCTCAAAAAGAAGTTAAAGCGACCTCTGTATTTTAAATTTTGTTTTTTCTTTCTTCTTTTTTTTTTTTTATTTAGACACTGATTTGGTTCTTGTAATTGGAGCTAATGACACTGTTAACTCAGCAGCTCAAGAAGATCCCAACTCTATTATTGCAGGCATGCCAGTCCTTGAGGTCTGGAAATCAAAGCAGGTAAAGTTTTAGTCTTATATTTCATCTGATCACCAAAGGTTGCTTAAAATATGCACACTGAACTTTCTCATTCACTTGATGAGAATTGATGATGTCTTTTAGGAAGCACAGAAGTAAGAATATGTTTAGAGTCTGATTCCCTGTGTCCAGCTTCTCTCAGTTCTCTGGCAATCAGAGAACCAGAGTGAATGCCTCATCATGAGTAGAACCAGATGAGATTATGTGGATGAATTAACACAGTCTGTAGCAACAGCTGAAAAAATAGCTGTGAGCTTTTGAGATGACTTTGGCCGAATTCCAGATCCAGTCCGGTGAAGCAGATGGCTTCCCTCTGGGACAGTGACTCAGGATAATTGCCTTTATACACCAAGATGAACACATATTAAAAATTTTTTGAAAGGGATTTGTATGTTGTTATGATGTGTCTAGCAGAAAGGTGATTTAGAATGCAAACAATAACATGGCATAAAAAGGCAAGTTTTGCTCATAACACATTATTTCTGAAAAGAGTTAATTGCTAGATTTTGAGGAAATCAGCTTATAAATTTCCCTCTGCCTCAGCAGGTTTATATCGCTTTACCACTCCCAAGTCATGTTTGCATTTAAGAATTATAATGACATGTTTACCTTTCCCTTTAATATTTTTTCTTTTATTTTGCATCTGTAAGTTTAAAATTTAGTATTTAAGATGAGAAAGTTAGTGAGTGGATATGAAATATACTTGCTTGTATAGGAAACATCGTATCAGTGGTCAATATTTGAGAGTTTGTAGGTACTAACGTTATATAACGTGATGGATGAATACATTTTCACTGCTTCCATTTTTTTCTATCGATTATGTGTCCTGGAAAACCATAGAAAGGCTTTTCATTTCTTTAAGAACTGATTTTACATTCAGCAGGATAGCAACACCCAGGCATGCCATTATAAATGTCTATAACACATCAATATTGCCTTCACCCTTCATTGTGGGCTGAAGGAACATCCTATTGGTAACTAACTAGCTCCATACTTGAGAGAAGCTGGATTACATTTTGGAGTTTTGATAGAACTTTTTGATATAGTTTACTCAAAAGCGATAGAAAGGAATCATACCACTTCCCCACTCAACCACATTTATTTTAGGATTTATAGCAGGAGCTTATGCATTGAGTTCATTTCCTTTGGCTTACTCATAGGTGAATAAGCTAAAGGTGCTATTTTTCTGACTAGTATTAAAGACTATTATTCATAGTCTTTATGGAGAGAAGCACAAAAAAAGAAAATCACTGCAGAAAATCATTAGACAAACTATTGTTAACATGACCTTTTGCGAATGATTTGAGTATGGTTACATTTTACTGGACACGCAAGTGTAAATATCGCATTGTCTCTCTGGTGTGAGAAACTAAAAGGATAAATAAGGACAAAATGTATACTGTGAAATGGGAAGACACTGTTCAAAAGGAAAGGGAAACTGAATGGGGCAGGAAGAGTAAAGGGAAAAAAAAAAGAAAAGAACGAAATAAATGGAAACAAAATTTTCATAAAAGGGGGAAGGGTGGTTTGAAGGGAAGAGAGGGGATTGGAAGAAAAAGAGGAATCAAGATATATCATGTACAAGTACAAATTCCCTTTGAATGTGACTGTTATGTATATTAAAATTATACCAATACAATTAATTAAATTTTAAAAAGAAAAAAATAAGAAAATTAACATTTCTACAATGCAAACATACATTTAAAACTACTCCAGGTATTATTTTAAAAGTCTTTGTACTAAAGAATTAGTAGTGGTGTGTCTTTGTTCAAAGTTAGGGGAGAGGTTCTGCTGTGTTTTTGCATATAATGGATGAATATAGAGAATGTACTGTGTATTTTGAAAAGCTAAAAGAAAGGAGTTTAGATGTTTTCACCACATATATATACATGTCAGAGGAGGTGGATATGTCTAGCCTTATCCAAATACTATACAGCGTATACATGTATCAAAACATCACTCAGTACCCTATAAATACATAAAATTTTTATATCATAAAATAAATTTGAATTCAAAAGAGAAATGTACAAATTTTAAAATAGCAAGACTGCAAAACAAAGTTAGGTTGATAATGTTTGTGTGCCTAATAGGTCCTACCTAATCAGGTCTCATTTACTCTTTGGTTCCCAGGTCATTGTCATGAAGAGGTCTTTGGGTGTTGGCTATGCCGCAGTAGATAATCCAATCTTCTACAAACCAAACACAGCCATGCTTCTGGGTGATGCCAAGAAGACATGTGATGCACTGCAGGCAAAAGTTAGAGAATCGTATCAGAAATAAATAGTACAGATCACACTGGCGTCCGGGAAAGCCACCTCTTCAGTTGTAGGAACAAAGTATCAGTGTACGTGGCTGATACACCTCTGTAGAAAACCTCTTGGAAGAAGACTGAAGAAAGCCAAACCGATGGAGGGCAAAATCTCATGAGCAGTGATCCCTGGATTTAAAAAAAAGATTTAAAATTCTAAATGTTTCTCTGTGTATATATTTTTTAATCTATGAAGCAAAAGTATTTTATAGGAGGAAAAAGAACAACTTCATTTTAGATATAATCCTATTGGATTTTTAAATTACCTTTCAGTATCAAGAAATATTTTCTGAAGTTGGATGTTTAGTATTTCAGGACTTATGCTTTGGTCTGAAAAATCTTACAGTGTAAACAATGCAGGCACCTGCATTTATGTTTTCAGCAAACATGACTAATTTGAAACTTCTGTTAACTCCTGAGCTGTCTCCTTGCATTTTAGTGATCATCAAAATTGATTGTACCTGATCTATTTCAATTGTTCAAATTGTACTTCAGATTCTAGATTTCCAGGGTTTATTTTCTCACTTCTTTTTTTAATACATGAAAGGACTAGATAATCTTTCAACAATGATGGAAACAGATCATTTTCTTCATATGTTCAATGAAACATACAACTTGAAAATATTAATTATATTTTTGAAAATCCCATTTCCAATTGGAGATCTCTTTAATTTCAATCAGTTTATAATGTGTGAATTAAATACATGAGTGGCATTCAACTATCTGACTAATAAAACAAGTTTATCATGTTTTCATATGGTATAGCAATTGTCTCTGGTGAAAAATAGACTAACATTGAATAGTTTGGCTTGCTATTAAAACTGAGGGAAGAAGACTTACTACTCTGAAATAGATGAAAGTAATCTGTCTCAACTATAAGAATGGATTTGTTTTTCAAACTAGAGAGTGTTTTAACATCTGTGTATGTATGATACTTGAAAGACATGGTGACACTTGTTAGCTACCTCTTAGCTGATCTAAGCACTATAAATCACATCTATAGTAGAAGTCTATAGATTTTGTGACTTTGCTATTGTTCAACAGCTCTAAATATACGTGAATGTGATACACAACTAGAGTATCTGTCTCTGTTAATAAGTTTGGTGTGAAGTTTCTCAAAGCAATTATTAACTCATCACAGACTGTCTCTGAGCTAGAAAAAACTAGTGTAAAAAATGAGTGTAAAAGTTTTTAGTTGTAATTCCCATGTGTTTACACAGTATATGTTGACTTGGTAATTGATTTCTGGTTTTGCTGTGCCTGAGATTGAGGTATGTGTGTGTGTTTGCATTAAAGCAGGGAAGATTCTTTTGAAATTTAGAAGTATTGATGCAGTTCATTGGTGCATCTGTGTTTGCTAGTAACCTTAGGACTGACGTTTATCATGAAAGTTCTATATGGAGAAATTAAAGTCTCTTTATTCATGTCCTTTTACTTCTCATATAGTAATTGTAGGTGTATTTGGAAATAGCAGTTTATTCTTCTAAAAAGATAGTTCCTGCATTCCATTTAAATGAAAAATAACCATACTTGGATATGTTAACTTATTTTTGTCATTTATAGTAACCTTTATATATGTAAAACTTTTGTTTAATGTGATCTAATTCCTTGAAGCCTGCCAATCCTTAGTCATCTAACTGTATTAGTTGAATTGAAAATTTGCATTCCATATGGTCTTAGTTTGTTGGTTAGGACATATAAAAGATTTTTGGATCTATAATTTCTTAAATTAATATTCAAGGATTGACGGTCTTTGTTTATTAAGTATAGCAAGGTTTAAAAACAACAAAAATGGGGGCCTGGGTTTTAGCTCAGTGGTGTCGCTGCCTGCCTCACAAGTGCAAGGTCCTGAGTTCAATCCCCAGTACCAGAAAAAAAAAAAAAAAGCCAAAAGAGCCCCACAAAAACAAAACCAAAAACCCAAAACCAAAACAAATAAAAAACCCCAAGAAAAATGGATTTGCACATTCTATTTTATTCCTTTTCTGATATGTCATATAACTGGTAGATATGACTTATTTTTGTATTATTCACTAAGTATGATACTGATTTAGTCCATTTTGTCTTGTTAAAACAAAATTATTTTTTTCTGTAAATTCTTTTAAAATTTTTTATTGTATTAGTAGTTTGCAATATATAACATTCACATTCACTGTGGAGATTGATACATAAACATAATGCATCTTAGCTCTTTTTATATCCTCTTTCCCTCCTCTTCCTCTGTCTCTTGGTTCCCTTCCCCTAGGAGAAGATCTATCTCCATATTTCCTCTTACCTGTATTTTATTTTGCTCTTTGATTTATTTTTACTTTGTATTTCTCATATAAGAGAAATAATGGGATATTTAAACTTGTTTATTTCTCTTAATTGTTTCAAGTTGCATTCATTTTCTTACAAAGGATTCAACTGTATCCTTTATAGCAAAGAAGTACTCCTTGGGTATAAATACATTTTCTTTATTCATCTGTTCATGACCATTAGCTACTTCCAAGATTTAGCTATTATAAATTGTGCTGCTATAAATGGGTATGTATGTATGTATGTATCACTGTAATATGAAGTCTTTAATTCTTTTCTGATGATACCTAAAAAGGGAATAGTTAGGTCAAATAAAGTTTCTAGTTTTAGTTTGTTTTTTTTTGAAATTTCCATACTGATTTACATATTGGTTATACTAGTTTACATTCCCCCAACAATATAGAAGGGTTTCTTTTTCCCTATAGCCTAGCCAGCATTTGTTATTATTTGAGTTCTTGATGATGGCCATTCTTTCTGGAGTCTTACAGAATCTCAGTGTTGTCTTAATTTGCATTTCTCCAATCACCAGTGATGTTAAACATTTAAAAATATATTGGCCATTTGTACTTCTGAGAAGTGTCTGTTTATTTCAGTTGCCTGTCTTTTGATTGGGTCTTCTGTTTGGGGGGGTGGTCTTCATTTTTTGTTTTTTGCATATTCTAGATATTAGTCCTTTGTTTAAGTAGTGCCTGGAAATTTTTTTCTCATCCTGTATGTTGTCTCTTCACTCTGTAGGTTGTTTCCTTTGTTGTGCAGAAGCTTTTTAATTTAATATGATCCCATTTGTTGATTCTTTATGTTATTTCTTGTGCAATTGGGGTTGTGTTCAGAAAGTCTTTGCTTATGCCTACATCTTCAGGAGTTTAACCTACTTTATCGATTTCGTGTTTGTGTTTTGATATTTAAATTTGTATCCATTTGAATTTTAGTTTAGTATATTGTGGGAAATATGGGTCTAGATTGAATCTTCTGCATGTGGATAACCAGTTTTCCCAGCACCATTTGTTAAAGAGCCTATCTTTACTCCAGTGTGGTTTACATCTTTGTCAAAGATCAGATGGCTGAATGTGCCTAGGGTTGTTTCTGTATCCTCTGACTGGTTCTAATGATCCAAATGTGAGTTTTAAGACTATCACTGTAGCTTTGTAATATAACTTGAAATCTAGAGTTGTTATGTCTCTTGCTTTGCTCTTGTTGATCATGACATGATTGCTTTTGCTATTCTACGTCTCTTGTTTATGTATAAATTTTAGGATCATTTTTTGTAGTTCTGTGAAGAATGCTATTGGTATATTGATTGGGATTGCATTAAATCTATATATCCATTTGAAAGTATGGCCATTTGACAATAATTGGTTCTGCCTATCCAAGAACAGGGGCTTCTTTTCCTTTTGTGATATCCTATTTCAGAGTACTATAGATTTTGTGGCAGAGGTCTTTTATTTCCTTGGTTAGGTTAATTTCTAAGTATTCAATTTTTCTTGATGCTTTTGTGAATGTATTATTTTCTAATATCTTGGTGAGTTCATTATTAGTTTATATGAATGTTACTGGTTTTTGTGTTTTGATTTTGTATCCTAAATGCTGAATTTGGTAATTAATTCTAGGAGTCTTTTTTTTCTCTCTTTGAGTTTATTGGTACATTTTAGGTATACAGTACAGTTACATTCATCATTGGGATCTTGTACCTTTACATGACAGACAGGTCTTGGTTCTCTTTTCTTCCCCTTGTCCCTGCCGTCCCTTCACCCCCTCCTCCTTCCCGATTTACAAATACTTTATTTCCATTTTTCATGTTCTTATATTTTTTGCCCCTTATTACCTTTCCCCTACCCTACCCACTTCTCCTACACTTTTAGTTCTTTTCTTCTATTTCACATTGTCATTTATATCATTAGGATCTTATGTACCATTAGTTTTTCACACCAGGTCTAGGAGTCTTTTTGATGGAATTTTTTAGGTCTTTGTAGAGGACCCTGTCATCTGCAAGTAATTTTAATTTGACATCTTCCTTTCATCTCTCTCTCTCTCTCTCTCTCTCTCTCTCTCTCTCTCTCTCTGTCTCTATCATCATCATCATCTATATTTCTTTCTTTCTCTTGCTTCATTGCTCTGGCTAATATTTTGAGAACTAGATTGATCAGGAGTGTTGATAGTGGTTGTCCTTGTCTTGTTTCTGATTTTAGAGGGAAAGCTTTCAGCTTCTCCTTTAAATATCATGTTGGCAGTTGACACATCATAAGTGGCTTTTTTTAAAGGTTGAGATTGAGTCTTTTTACTCCCTATTTACTTAAGGGTTTTTAATCATGAACAGATGCTGGATTTTCTCAAAGGCCTTTTCTGCATCTATTGAGATGACCATGTGATTTTTGTCCTTTTATTTATGTGTTGTATTACATTTATTGATTTGAGTATGTTGAACCATTATTGTATCCTTGTGTTGAAGCCTAATTCGTCATGATCTTTTTGATGATTTATTGTATTCTCTTTGTCCTGTTGTGGATTTTAAAGTCTATATTACTGAGCAGGTTGCCCTGTAGTTTTCTTTTGTATTTGGCTCCTTGTCTTGTTTTGAAGGCAGGGCAATGATAGCTACCAGGAATGAGTTTGAAAGTAGTCTTTCCCTTTAAATTTCATTAAAAAGTTTGAAGAGTATTGGCATTATATCATCCCTGAAGGTCTTGTAGAAATAAGCAGTGTATTCATTGGGTCTTGGCCTTTGGCTTGTTGGTAGATTTTTTTATTGCTACCTCAATTTCATTGCCTATTTTTGGATAGTTCTAAATTTTTGTGTCTTCTTTGTTCACTTTTGGTAATTCATATGTGCTTAGGAATCTGCCCATTGTTTTTTCAAAATTGCCCAGTTCATTGGAGTACAATTTTTTATAGTAGATCCT